CCAAAATTTGAATTCCAACCTTTATAATGAGTTCGTTCTTTGTTTTTAGTTTTTATCCCAACCAAATCGTTAGAAGGATTTTCACATGAAGAAAATTTCATTCGGAAAATTTTCACAATAATTTCGTCAATCTTGTGTAGAAAAAAAGTGGAAAAAAATTATGACCAAAATTATTAGCAATCGGTATATTCCTAATTTATTAATTTGCTTTTTCCTTCATTTCATACATTCATTTTTCCTCTATTAAATCATTTATTTTTGCTAAAAAAAAAACTCGAAAAAACATTTTGGTGGAAGCGTTTCACCTCTTATCTTACCGTTCATATGTTCTTATCAGTCAGTTTTTTTTTTTTTTAAATATCTAAATTTTTTTATGAAATCGAATCTCGGCATTCATCCAGATTATTCTCATTTGTTCAACATTCTTTTCTTTATTTTTTCATCAAATTTTACATATTCAAATTTAAAATCTTTAGGTCATTTTGGTCAAAAAATATTAAAATCAACATTTTTCTCACCATAATAGATAATCAAAAAAAAAAAAAAAAAAGGTCGTAAATGGAAATATAAAGTTTACATAGCATTGCCAATCTAACGATAAAATAAATTGAACGAGCTTTTGATGTGGCGAAACGATGATCGTCGATATATGTGATTCAATGTTTTTTTGCATGTTATAGATGCAAATTCTGATTCACTGAGACATACAATTCCTTTCTATAATAGCAATTTTTTTTTTTGTACTTATAACGAGGGAGAGATATCGTCAAAAATGATAATTGCAATTGATAAAAGCTTTGCAACAATATCAATCATTTACAGTATTCAGTGATGTTTATGCATATAAATATTTTACATTTTATTTCCCTATAAATTAGCTTGTTTGGCTGATCAATCTTTTTTTTGATAAATGATATGGTTTCCTAATCAGTTCATCCTTTTATTGAGTCAAAAATTATCGTCTCGAGCACCAAAGTGCGAGTCGTGTCTTTGATAAGAATAGACCTATCGTTAAAAAAATAGTGTTACCGAGCTTATCTTCTATCCTCAAGTGACTCGTTGGCAAAAAATTCTCATTATTCTATCAGCGAGTAGAATGATAGTATGCATGTTAAGTGCTAACCACTTCTTCTTCTTCACCTCATTTATAGTTCGACTTATATCGTCGAACTGCAATTGTTCCTTCACTAATGGGCTAAATATCTTAAATCGAAACTCATTTCATTTTCTATTTGCATTTTTTTATGGAATAAAACATTCTAATCATTCTAATCATTCTAATCATCAATAACATTAATGAAAAGCTTTTTTTTTAAATTAATATCATTAGTTATTAAAAATTAGTTATTATTAGTTATTAAAAGTGTATAAAATTGCTAAGAAACTAATTATTCATTTATAAAACTATAAATTATAGAAAATATTTTAATGGCTTTATCACTGTGCAAATATAAATATTTGTTTGAACAATTTCATTCAGCCCTATCTGTGTTTGAATCGCTTCAGTCGTTCTGATCCGAGATCGAATGCACTTTGGATGATGAGAATGCATTTCATGCAACTGCAATTTCTGATTCAGTATTCACGAAATATGTATGTTTCATAATTTAATATTTGTTGGTTATTTGCCCCACAGGGCTTTCCACTAATCGATTGGGAAATGGTTATGCCTTGGGATCGAATAGAGAAACGAAGGAATGTAAAATTATAGACGAGAAATGAATGAAATAAAATAGTTGCAAATGCAGGAAAAAAATAAAACTTATATTCATAGTGTATAATAGATTAAAAATAGACTAAAAATTAGAGCCAATTTTAAATTCCTTTAGAGAATCACTTGGTGATAGAAGAGAAGACGATTAGGTCACCAGTACTTTTAGTCTAATATACATTATCGCTAGTATTTTATTTTCAGTGGCATCTTTATTCCTTTTAATGAGCCTCGTTTATTCCATGATGCTTGGTCACATGGTCGAAGCAATATCCTCCTAGAGATTCCTGATAAGATTAACGAGTGGTGAGGAAATAACATAGTGATAAGTGGCAATCAAATTCGGTTCTTTCATTTTCGCGAAAAATTTTTTATATCGAAATTAAAATTAATATATCGTATTAGCCAGGTTCAGCACCAATGCCAAAATCGATTAGGCACCTGCTTAAGGTTAAGGTTTTTTCTTGAGAAGGCATTATGCCTCCATATAATGTTAGGTTGCAAATAAATTAATGCATATTTTATGATTTAATTTGTTTCAGTAATTTTTAAATTTTTAATTTTTAAATAAAAATGATGTGATGTTATAAATAATCTTTTATCGTTTTAATCATTATAATCTATTTTTGAATACAAATACAATCGTTTGAATTGTGAAATTAATGTGTCAAAAAACGATTTTTGCTAAATTTACGTCTAAAAAGTTAAATTCGATTGTAGCGCAAACAGCTCGAAAGATCATTATGAACGAATTTGACTATGTAGCTCACTCTGTCTTATCCATCATAATCGAATCTCTTAACAACCGACTTTTTTTTCTCACTATTACTGGTGCTGGCTTGTCGCATTGGATAAATATGCTAGAGAGTTCCTTGGCGATAGAGAGACAAGTGAGTCGCCAGCATCACCCGGATTTTTTGATAGGTTTACTCCTGCAAGGAGTAGAACCTCAGCATCGGCGCTCCAAATTTAACAACAACCCACTGAGCCATTCTATCCCCAACTGACTATCACTTTCTATCACAATCATCTCGACAATTTCTTGAAGAAAAAAATTCTTCGGTGACCTCAATCAGCCTTAGAAAGATATCTCTATTTTCTTTCTCTAAAATCTCTGAATTCGCACCTTCCGAAATTCAGAATTCTGTGCTATCGCGGAATTTCCATATATTTCTTTTTGCTTAGATTTAATATTAAAATAAAATAAATAAATGCTTGGCTAACAGATTTAACATTCCATTGTGAATGAATCATTCTTCACAAATAGTCGAAATTAAAATTTTCCATGAAAAAATGCACAGAATATAACAAATTTAAGAATGATTTTTCAGTTCGCTATCGATAATTATTTTTAATATTCTAAAAATATTTGCAGAACATAAAATTTCTTCATTTTTATAAAGCACTCAACACTGCTTTACTTTTTCATTCTCCAAACAAAATAAAATATAATTACAATCAAAATATGTACTTATTTCTCAAAAAAAAGTGCATTTAAATATATATGCAAAAATAAAATAAAATTTTTAATGCAAACAATAATAATTTGCTAAAAATGTAAAGAAGCAATATGTTATTAATAAAATCGTTTGTTTGCTTAGATACGACTAAATCATACGACATTTTGAGAGAGAGAGAATTTTATTTCGAATTTTAAGCTCTCGTAACGAGGCTCGAATTCCAATATCTCATATATAAAAAAATCACGTCAGTGGTACTTTCATCGTATATCGTATATGACATGACATCAGATACTAATGGTACTCTCATCATAAATTAAATACAATATTTGCTTAGTAAGGAGCTTTACGAAGAATTTGTTAAAAATAAAAAAAAAGAAAAAAAATAAAAATTGATAAAAATAAAATTCTCTTCTATACTTTTAATTAATCATGTATTTTTAATGAGCACTGAGAATCATTTATAATTTATATTTTTTAAATTTCTTTTTTCTCCTTTATTTAAATAAGATAAGCGACGATGAAAAATACTTCTCTATTTATAGTACTATTTTACTTATAATCAATCTCATAGTTCTTAAAATACGAATTAATTTATAGTTTAAACCTTTAAATTTTAATGATAAATGATTATTGATTATTTGATCAACAAAAAATTGACAAATCACAAACCGATAAATAAAAATAAAAATTTTCTTCAATAAAAATTATTTTAAATTATTCTTTAAAATTATCCAAATAATAATAATAATTAATGAGCATAGAAACATGAAGCAACGATTTTGTTGCTGCATGCATGTAATTATGAGAGTTGCATGGAATATAATTTTTTGCACAATATTTGCAAAATTTTGTACGATTCATCAAAAATGAAAAAATTTAAATTATCAATGTATCACTGTATTCAACGAATTTAAATTTATTAAAAAAATAAATTTATTAAAAAAAAAAAATTCTGTTTCCTCGAACTGTTTATTCTCGAGTTGATCATGCATTTTTTTCTAGATTTCACAAGCTTTTCATTATTTTTTTGCATTCGTCTTCCAAATAATCGAACATTACTTTAACCACAATTCTGTAGATTTTATCCATATTATCTGTGTACCTTTCATCGAGTATTAATTTCACCGAATATAGAAATGGATCTTCCATTTTCTAAAATAGTAAAAATTTTATAAAAAAAAATGATATGAATATTTATTGTAGTAATAATAAAAGGTTTTTAAATTTAATATGTGATTTTCTACTTGAAAATCAAAAAAAGAAAAAAATCCTCTTCCTTACTGTCTTCCATCTATATTCAGCGATAATCTAACTAATACTTCGAAATTTATTCGCTAAGATTTTGAAGAAGAACATGTTGCTGTTCATTCATCGCTAATTCACTAAGTCTCATAATCTGAAGATTGTGAGTTGATGCCTCACCTCGGGTATGAGTTTAGGGATAGAATGGTTCAGTCAGTTGTTGCTCATTTTGGAAGGCCGATGATGAGATTCGATTCCCTGCGGGAATACAAACCTGTATAAAAATCCGGATGATGCTGGTGACTCACCTGTATTTCTATTGCCAAGGGACTCCCTTGCATATTGCCCAATGTGACAAGCCGAGTTTAACTAGTAATGGTGAGGACTTTAAAAAAAAAAAAAGATTCATAAGGTAAAATTTTATCCGAATTAAAAAATTTTTACTCGAAACATTTCTGGCTGAAAGTTTGGTTTTCGAGCATGTCGTTCAGCATTTTGTTTTAGGATTCGAAAAAACTTCGCATTGTCTTCTATATTGCTGAAAGACGATTCATAACCATTTGATTTTAGATCGTATTCTCTTCCTAACAATTTGGCTGATATCTATAAGAAAAACTCACGAAATCCAAAATTAAGCCTATTTTTTCCGTTCTATTCTGTTTATATTGTGGATGGCAATTTTTTTATGAAATTTTTTTTATAATCGCTTAAATCCATGGTTTAAAGATTTCAATATTAAGTTCAGACGAGGAGAAAAATTTCTTTTATAAAATAGCTATGCATTTGAATTGTCCAGCAATTCCGTTTGGTGAAATATATCATCGTAAAATCATCAAGAAACGAAAATAGACAAGACTGTTGTGAAATACAAGGAAGCTGCTTTTGACCACTTCTATCCAAGGTGAATTTCACGTAGCGATAAAGCAAATGAACTCATAATTGCATACATCTTCGTTCGACTATAATCTCTCATTAATGGTGTCGCTTACGCTGGTTACGCCATATTATTCGTTGCAAGCAGCAGAAATTGACGATTATCTTATATCAAAAGATAGCAGGTCCAATCAAAACGTAGATTGATAAGTTCAGAAGATATATAAGATAGAAATCCTTTCGGATATGAAATATGACCGCTTAAAAATGCTTTACCGTTTTAACCATTAAACCCAACTTAAATGAGCTATGAGAAGAGGAAGAAGAAAAGAGAAAATGATTAATTCGCATTTTCAGATGGAAACCCAAGAAAGAAGGAATATTTTATATAGCGAATATTTTAAGCTAACCTACCAAATATAACAAATGCTTATAGCTTATAACGTCAAAAAAAACTTACACATATTTTGTAGAGTTCGTAGGCGATAAAATATCATAAAATATTTAGCAGATGTACCTAATTTTGCTTTTCGTTTTTTAAGAATTTGACAAAAACGCATGAAAACAAAACTTCTAAAACTGTACCAAATAGCCTCTCCGATTAATGTCATTACAGCTTTGCCATGTGCTCTTAAGCGTTCGTCATTTAGTTGTGTTTCTTTCGGTTCATCGACAATAGATCGAAAATTAAAAAAATTGAAATATTCTTGATTTTCGGAAAGAAATCTGAAAAAAATCCAGCTCAAGTTAGCTTTGGTTAATGATATAAGGCAAAATATTTTTATTTATTACATATATATTTATCGTTAAATTAATGAATTTGCAGTAAAATATGATTGGAAATGGCCGTTTGCTCTTCTAAAATTTTATATTTCGGTAATCAAGACATAAAGCAATTTGAAATGCTACATTTGTTTTGCTTTTTGGCAATCATTGGAATTGGACAAATTTCCTTCCAAGCATAAAGTCGTTGAAAAGATCATTTTCTTATCATTTGGTTTTTAAATAATTTGCTATTTATTCATTTTGAAAAACTCTTTTGCAATATTGCATATAAAAAATGCCATGCATTATACCATGAATCCACGAATCCTATCAGACCTATCGCTGTATTCTATCGCATTTAAGCTTTTATCTATAGGCATTTTCGGTTGGAACAAAATTTTCACTACTGTTATTGTGCAAGCTATGGAAGAAAAAAAATGGCAGATTATCTAAACGATGAAATTAAGACACTAACTTGATAAACATATTTGCGCCCGCTTCAGTAACCTCTCTCGAAATTCCTTTCCAATTTTTAATTAGCAAAAACTTTTGCCGTTCTGTTAGCGGAATTCGATTATCAGTAAAAGTGTTGCAGTTAACATCGCTTTCTGGGATAATTTTTGTCTCATCCGTCGAATTCCTTTTAAACCGAAAGCAGATACAAGCCATTTTTCTTCAATTTTCAAATGCTGAAGAAATGCTAATAAATCTACAGAATGCTCATTATTCCGTTTAATTCTGCATATTCAAATAATCAGTCGAAAATAATTTAAACCAGTGGCTCTTAGCATTTCTCACTACTTAATTAAAATTATTTAAAAGAAAAAGAGAAGGAAAGGAACTGACTGGCATCACGCTATTTGCTGTTAAGACCTATAATGGACAGCGACGAGATCCAACAAAGATCTAAACTATTACGGTCATATTTTGAGCGCACATAACGATATTTCAGCTTAGGGGTTGGAAAAAAAAGTGGTTTCTGTTATTTTCAGATATGCCACTCCACTCCATCGAGTGGCTTGCAGACGTCTTCTTCCAGTCACTGGTGGATATATAAGCTAAATAGAAAGCCACTGGAAGGAGCACTTTTATCACAATCGTCGTTAAGGCTTTTCTTATGTGTTCTCTCGCATCTCTATGAAAAAAATTGATTCTATTTAAGCGATTAAATTATTAATGTTCTTACTTAATTTATTAATCAATTATGAAGTCAATTGTTTATGAAATAGAAGTATCTCATGAATCCATAATTTATCCAAGAGCTGAATGGCGATGAATGCCATTTGTTTCTTTGCCCACGAGGAATGACGATGGGAAGGCATTTATAAACTGGTAGAAAGCTCATTGAAAATATTCTTTAAAACTATTCGGTTGTGCAACTCCATTTATGCTTCCTCTTACGCTACTTGTCAGTCAGTATATTTACTTTACACAAATGATGCATACATAGAAAGCGCAAATATTCTTGTACAGGAATATCTTTTCTTTATTTTTATTTCATTAGTTTAGATTAGTTTATTAAACACTTCGATTTCTCGAATATTTCCATTTCTATTGAGAAATAGAAGATAATCTTCTTCGCGAAATGCAAGCTCAAATTATCATTAATCAATTACCAAGTTAAAAAATCTTTGTCAAAAACTCCTCGTAACTGTTGAAATACGATTTCAAATCACATACACAAGTTGACAAAGAACTACATGGAAGTGCTGCAGAATTGATTTATGGTTCGATCATTCTAGAACAATATTTCATACATGTTTATCAAGATTATGATCCACTCTTCTAAAGAAAGAACCGCATGAATGCATCAGTCGAGTTGATGAAATTAGTGATAATATGTTACGTTCAAAGTCAAAATTTTTCTTCTTTTTTTTTGAAAAACAGCTAGTAACATTTATGGTAATACAGGTAAAATTTAGATAAAAGCTAAAAAAAATAGCTCAACCTTCGTAATTTTTACGAATTGTAGTAAAAAAATCGTAATTCGAAATATGGCAGTAGAATGGCTCAGTAGGTTGTTACTTAATTCGGAGCGCCGATGCTGAGGTTCTATTCCCCGCAGGAGTAAATCTATACAAAAATCCGAGTGATGCTGGCGACTCACCTGTACTTCAATCGCCAGGGACTCCCTGGCATATTCGTTCATTTGTAACAAGCCAGCGGAACGAGTTTAACCAGCAGTGGTGAGGACTGTTAAAAAAAACAAATTCGAAATATAAAGTTATCCGATCTCGGTCTAAAACAAGTTTCATTCTAATGAAATTGATTAAAATAAAAAGAGAAAGAATTAATCAACCAAAAATTTAGCGATTAATTTTTAGCACAGATGATCGTAACCGTTCATGTAATTCTCTATATAATTAAGCAAATTGCTAATTTAAAATTGATAGAAAGGTAGCAAAAATTTCCTTAAAAATTCGACATATAAATGAAATTTTAATAATTCCATTATAATCGAAATATTTTTTAAAAAAGTGGTAAAAGATGGATAGAAAAAGTTAGTTAAAAGTTAGAAAAAGTATACTGAAAACAGAAAATTAGAAGAAGCAAGAGTAAGGTGCTTAGCGAATAGAATGGTTCACTCGGTTGTTGGCCAATTCAGAGAACTGATTCGGAGAAGTTCTACTCCCCGCAGGAGTAAACCTGTCCAAGAATCCGGATGATGCTAGCGACTCTTCTTTTCTCTTCTTCTAACAACTCTCACCATTACTGGTTAGGTTGGATATTTCGCTGGCTACAAAAGTAAGATGTCTCCGAGCCGCCTGGTCCGACGCCATTGCTAGTAATAATAGAAGCCATTCCTTTTTCCATCGTATAAGTCCATATATTGCTGGTCCGCCTATACGTTCAAAATTTCCTGACTGTATCAGTCCAGGTTTTGATTGGCCCTCCTCGCTTTTAATGTCAACCATCACAGGGTTGCGAAATATGCATCAATTCCTGCGGTGGACGACGAAGAACCATAACCAGCGAAGGCGACTCTCCGTGATTATTATTAATAAAGCAGATATTGGCGACTCGCCTATATTGTTCTATCATCACGGAACTCCCTAGCATATTGATATAGTTTGAGCTAGCAGAACTAACCAGCAATGGTGAGCGTTCTTTAAAAAAAAAGGTGCTTAGCGATCACTATTTATGGTCAAACTGCCTGTTAGTACGATTGGAAATTTTTGCAAGGAAGTTACTCGATAATACCAAAGTATATATGGCTCATCGCTTGTATTTTTTGATGGTAGATTTATTCTTTTGTTGGAGTAAGGAAATGAATCCTTATCTTTCAACAAGATTATCTCAATCACTATCAACTATCAACTTGGTTATTCTTAATTTTAGTAAAAGTTAATTGAAAGGAAAATAGTGAAAGGTTGGAAATTAAAATATATTGTCAAACAGTGAAAAAAAATAAATTTTAAATTAACTGAAACAACTGTTAACTGTTAATAAATGTTAATAATAAAATAAATTGTAATTGCTAAAAAATGTTTGAAAAAATATTAACTGAATACCGAAATATTAACTGAATTAAATAATAACAACGAAATACGAAATGTGTACCATCTGTTCCCTATTTTTTTTTTTTTTTCAAAATTCGCCTGAAAGTATCAAATTTCAGATTTTGAAATGAGTAATGGATTTGCATCAAAATATATTTAATCTCGAATTTCAGTACAACAATAATTGATATAACTGATAAATATTAATGCCTTCTTTCTTGTTCTCAAATGGTTCAATTATTCAAATTTCAACATCGATAACTGAATTTATTTAATGAAAAATTTGAAACAATTATATTAATAATTACGCGATAATAATATAACTAACTTTTTTTATGATGTAAATTTATCCAAATTTTACTGATAATTTATTGTGTCATACTGATTAATAATTTTCAAAGATTAATTGCCTCAAGAGAATTTCTAATCGAAAGTATAAATGCATAATTATAGGGCAATAAAATATGGTACGAGAATCAAACAACTTGGAAACTCCTCACTTTTTTAGCCAGCGTAGCCAGCTTAGCAAGCAGTAGTGCGAGGTACTAGCGGAAATAGAAGGTCATAAGAATTCAGTAATCAAGCGATTAAAGAGAAATAATTAGCACTTTAGGCGTGAAGACAGGACATAATGCTTTTCACCTTTCTTTATACATTTTCAAAAGATGGCCCTACTTCTATTATTTGCTTAATCGATGACTGACCATCCATATTGTATATTATACTCGTTACCATGTGCATCTATATGCTATACTTGCACCTCCCATTATACTCGGATATTTGTAGTATTTTTTAGCATAATCGCGAAAGCATTAGTTGAAAAAACGCAAAAATTTTATAATAAAACAAATGCTATGATGCCAAGAAATCCGAAAAATCCGAATGAAACTGAAGAAAACGAGGAAAATAATTTTATCTTTTATCTTTATATATTTTATCTTTTAGCCATTTCGCTCAGATCTAATCCTATTTTAAAGATTCGCATTTTATACATAAATACTCATGATAAATTTCATGTTCATTAAGCGATATATACAACCATAAATGGAAGCATATTTAATTACTATTTGCGTTTTATTATGTTAAAATATATCGTTTTTAAAATCAGACTTCTGGAAAGAAAAGAAAAAAATTGAATTAAGATCGATCAAAGTAAAATTCATGTCAAAATACAAGTACACTCGTCAATCTTTGACAAACTTAATTAAAATTTCTATGAAATTTCATGAAATAAAAAATGGATGAAAATTTTTGCAGAAAACAAGATTTCCATTTCTGTTTAACTTATATTTTTCAGTTAAAGAAAAAAATCAACTGAGTACTGGCAATTTTAATTATGAAAAAATTTTTTTAGAATTATTTTGTAATTAATCTATCAAATTTCATGTAAAGATATGATAAGATAAGATAATATAAGATAATGGCTAATATATTATTAGAGTCGAAGACACAGAAATATTATATGGAAGTATTGTTGACTAAATATTGCTAAACTTAAATTTTCCTTAACGATTTGAAATGATTTCTTATAATAAAATTTTACGATTCTGAGAACAAAATGAATTTTCTTAACGCCTTGCTCGTGCATTTAACTAACTAATACTTACAGAAAACTGATGATTGATGATCTGATGATTTATCTTTGCTCAAGTTTATATATCTAAAATAAAATGGTCTTTCGAATAATCTGAAAACAACATCGCGCTCATTGTTTATGTATTAATTGTAGATATCGATGTAATTTTTTTTTTTATATTTTAATTAATTATTAAATATTTTCGTTGAAAGTGAAATACGGAATGGTGTTGCTAATTCATCTTTGTATTTCTACATCAGAAGTGATTCTTTGAGTGAAAAAAAAAGCTGTCGTTGTAGCTGTCGTTGTGTGAAAAAAAAAAAGTCAACCGAATAAGAATTGGTAAAAGCTATTAGAAGAAGATGAAAATTCGTGTGGTTGAAGCAAATTTAATAAACGAAAAAGTAGAACGCCTTTTAAAAGAACCAAAATGCATCAAAAAATTTCCTTAAAGAAATTAATGCGTCTTTTTTTGAAAAAAAGGAACTAAATTTAAGGATGATTTAAGGATAATTCGAAAAAAAGGTACGAGAAATGTGATTTTTCTAATTAAATGCAGATTATTTCAATTAATTGGAAATATAATATCACAT